TGTGTGAGAAATTATGCAGGGATGAATAAAAAATTCTTAAAAATTAAAAACAAATCCTTTCTCCAAGTTTTACTAGGATCTGCCGATATTTAAGCCTATCTTCCATATAAAACATCTTGCAGAAAATCAGTTTCTAAAAAATTTTGCATTAAGAAAATGATCAATAACGTAAAAACAAAGATATTTTATTTGTTTATTTACTAGCTATACCCAGTGTGCTGTGCTACCCTAAAAGCAATATAACCCACTTAACGACTTTGATGATTCTAACTGCAATGGTTTTCCAGATATACAATTTGTTACATATGGGAGATTCCACGCAAATTATTGCAATAGTTTCCCAGATATACAAAATTTTGTATTTCATTCATATGGGAAGTGCCAAGCCTCCCATTGAAAGTCCGCCCGTTATTCTCTAAATGTTCTTCAGTAAAAATTGAAATTCTAGCTCTAATAGTTTCTCAGATATACGAATTTTTCTATTTAATTCATATGGGAGCTCCAAGCCCCCCAGATGAAACTCCGCCCTTTTTTCTCCAAAATGTTCAGATGAATATTAAAGTTGTTCGTGCAAAATTTGAGGAATTTAGTTATATTGGTTTCCCAGATAAACGAATTTTTGTATTTAATTCATATGGGAGGTTCCGCTCCCCTCATTGGTAGTCCCCCAATTTATTACCCAAAATGTTTACATGGATGTTAAAGTTCTTTCAGAACAACATCATTTAAAAGGGATCACAAAGAGATTGAAAAATATTCCAAAAGTTTCACTTTGAAAACATTATTAGAATGTATGAAACTTGCAACTCTAAAGGAAGACTATTCCTATTTTAGTGGTATTTTATGATTAAAATAAGTAAGGCAAATCATATGTCGTAAAAAAGAAAATTTCGGAAGTGGTCCGATCATTAGATTAATAAGAACGTCACCGTGATTTTCGGATTAGGGACTTAAATGTGGAATTGGATCAATAATATATATAATTTAAAGTATTTTTTTTTTTTAATTCTACCATAATTCTATCATAATGATAACTTTTGGAATGATGTATTAGCTATAAACTGATTTTCTGTAAGAGGGTTATATTGGTGGACCGATCCTCATAATTTTATTTTTCATAAATGTGGGTTTCGGTTCCTAAAAATGTTTATTTCGTCGACATCGACATTTGAAAGCCATTTATGTGCGTTTAAGTCATTTTCTGAAGAAGATTTCATTACATATTTTCGTTCCAACAAAAATTGTTTTATTATGGTATTATTAAGTACGTAGAAAACGTTAAAATCAATTATTGAAGGGGGCAGGGTCAACTATGGCCTATAGAGATTTCGATTGATATCGAGCTCTTTTTGCAAAATGGACGTAAGCGAGATAAATTTTCGTTCAATTAGGATACTGCGTGTTTAATTTTATGTTTATATATTCAATATTTTAGAAAATTCAAAAAGTACCAGTTAAAGAACGAAAAATTACCAGAAATACTCCAGTTTAAATTTTCATTCACTCAAGTCCCTGATTGCTTAGTTTTGTGTTTTTAGGTTCATTATAAAAGAAAATCCAAATAGTACAAGTTGAAGGACGAAAAAGTACCAAAAAGTCCCGTTTTATATGTTCTCACTTACTCCATGTTCAATATTATAGAAAATTCAAAAAATACCTTTTGAAGAACGAAAAAGTACCAAAAAGTTCCCTTTTATATGTTATTACTTAATCCGTGCTGTACATTCCTAAATTCATGTTTCTAGGTTCAATATTATAAAAAATTCAAAAAGTACCAGTCGAAGAACGAAAAATAGAAAACTCAAAAAGTACCTTTTGAAGAACGAAAAAGTACCAAAAAGTCCACTTTTATAGATTCTCAAGTGCTTAATTACATGTTTCTAAGTTCTAAGTCAAAAAAGTACCAGTTGCAACATCGTATTGGGAGCCCGTTATTATGTATTCATATGTATAAGTTAATAAACCAAAAACAATGTTTTATAAAAAAGTACCAAAAATAGGTACAATTTTCACCCCTTAAACGTCCGAATATCCAAAAAGTACTAAATTTATATTTTTATTTGTTCGTCAAGTTATGAAGGATTCAAAAATATTTTTTGAATGTTCTCTGGTTTATGGGGTGCAAAAGAAGTACCAAATTACAGTTTCTACCCGTTAATTCCCCAAAGGGGCCGAATTTGAAAAAAGTACCAGACACCTGCCCGCTTATTTTTTAAATGAACGACGATAAGCTTTAAACTGTTCTTTTATAGTTTAGGAGATATGAGGTTACCGAATTTACCCGTTTTTACCATTTTTAACCCCCTAATCATTCGAATTTCCAAAAATCCCGTCTAAGTGTATCTATTTGGTGGGAGACCAACCTCATGTCTAAATTTCAGCTCTTTAGCTAAAACCGTTTAGGCTCTACGATGATGAATCAGTCAATCAGTCAGTAACGTTAGAATTTTATATATGTATTATGTATATAGATTTCGTGCATTGAATTATACTGTAAAAACATTGTAATGTTCGACTTGAATTCAAGTTTCGTTTTCACTGGAGAATGCTATTGAATTAAAGTGTATTTCAACACTTGAAATTTGAATGTTTGACTGGAATTAAACTTGTTTAAAACTTTAATTCCAGCAAGAATGCTTATTTGGTATAGTGTGACAACTATAATGGACCTAAAGTCGACATAAAGCCCACAATGGTTAGTACCAATATTTTGCCCAAACAACATCTACATACCTAGCCAGGTTATATCCTCTAGGTCCGTGAAGACATTCTCTACAAAGCTATAAATTTGTATAAAAGACGGCTTAACAATTGTTTCTTGTAAATATTCGGCCACCATAGTGTTTAGAGACAACAAGAGCTTCACTGAAAGGCACACCTGACAGACATCGCGCTCTATTATGGGTGGGTGTATGGTAGTGATTCTGCTAAGATCAATGGTATAATAATAAGTATGTATCTCAAGGATACCCCCTGAAAACGGCAATCAGCTTCCTTCCATTGCCTCTAGGTGATAATATACCATGTCACCACTAGCCGACCGACCACCACCCGCCTAGGCTACTAGGGAGGTATACAATTGCCACTCTCTTGTGGGCATTCTTCCAGGAGACGACCATCATGATGCCTCCTCTTTCTTGAAAAGAAAGACGTTCTTTATAGACAAATAAATAATTAATTAACAACATTACTTACATTTTTTAATCTTCTAGATCTCACAAATATGCCAAATATAGATTTCGATAAACACTTTTGGGTATTAAACGAAAACAAACCCATATAATTATTAACAATTTAACTAAATTCAACCCAACACTTGCTGTTTCTTTGTACAATGACCCTCGGTATAGTAGTATAGCATACAATCTTATTAATTTTAATTTTTAGTAAAAAATTATTTTTTTATTTAAAGAATATCATTTCTGTCATTTTAGATTTTCGCACACACACAACAACAGATTTTTTGTGGCAAATAAAAAATGCAGAAAACAGTTTGGCGCGAAAAATTCTAGCAGAATTTCTTTTCGCAGTCGGCAGAATTGACATCAACTGCACTTCCCATTTGAAATACACATGTTCGATACCCTAGCCCTTTACGGTATGACATACCAGCAATGTAAAAAGGTGTAGCTCCGTTGACGTCAACGAAGCTGGTTTGAAGTCAAAGCGGCGACTCGAATTAGGCGCGAAAACACGAAAATATCTGAGGCGAAGCATATACATCGAACGTTGAGCAAAGTTCTACACCGGCCAAATTTCAATGAGCGGCTTATTATTAAATAAAAGAAAACTTGCTTAAATGAAAACAAATTAATTTTATATTGTAAAATTCCACAAATTTAGCGAAAGTATTCTGTAAATTGTACAAAATATGGCGAAATTTTCAAGCCGTATTAAGCTGAAAAATTTTCGGCGGCGGCGGCTTTGACATTTCGTTCGGCGGCTAGGCTTAGTCGGCTTAAGCCGAATCGGCGCAAGAGCGCTTGGGGGGAGAGTTTGAGAATGACAAGGTGTAGAGAAAATGAAAAAAGTATTGGTAATATGATTGTTAATTTTGTTATCAAATTGAATTTAGCGATTTTGATATAACATATAAATTTCAGCGATTTTTCCTCTGAGTGTTGCCCTTAATAAAAACAAAGGCCTTTTTTATATCATTCACTACGGCTCTATAGTTTAAACAATATATCGACTTTTTTAATTTACGAAATTTAGATTTTTCGACGTTTAAATTGTCAATCTTTCGATTTCGAAAAATCGACTATTTTCAAGTCGATTTATGTAGCAAATTTTTTTTTAATTATATCCTGAGTGCTATATCTAAATTATTCCGTATGTATTAAGCCCACTTCACACGAGCACACAAGTAATATGATCTGTCAGAATTTTGTGTAGAAGAGATCGGATGGGATCGTCTAAACGCAATATGTAATAAAACCATCACACATTGAGAGAAAATACGGATGGAAAATTTGACAGTCGTATGGCTCTTTTCATTTTTTGAAATGATTCAAAAAACAAGCAAGTCGCATTAGATCAGGGATGTATTTTTATGTAAACACATACAAAAAAATTGAAACAACTGTTTCCATCTTACTTTGTTATTGTTTTATACAAATCGTGTAAACACGTGTTATACGGATGGAATTTCATTTTACTTTTTCATTAGACTTGTCGTACGTAAAGTGTGATCGTCTGAAGGGCCCTTTAGCGTGTAATCTCAAAAAATTTAGCGTGTGCAAGCTGTTGTAAAGTTATAACAGGGTGTATCATAGTTATTGCCTGATTTTAATTAATTAAGATTAATTTTTAGTCAGTTTCATAAAATTATTTACACAAAAATATTATTTATTTGAAAATATCCATATTAAATATGAAAATAAAAACTTCAAACTATTTTTTCTCTAATTACAAATTTACAAAAAATCGCTTATATTCTTTTTTGTTATAAAAACTTGAATATGCCCTCTGGCATCCTTATTAATTTCTATTGTGAATGATTGAATTCAAAATTACAACAGTTGAGAAAACCATCAGGAAAGAAGAAGAAATTAAACGGTAAATTTTGCAAAACTTCCATAATTATCAAGGATTGAACAATTTTAATTAATTTAGAAAAAAAGAAACATATTGCTGTGAAAATAATGGAAGAAAGGAGTGTGGAAAAATACTCCTCAACTGAATTATCTAAAAATTCGGAAATTTTCTGTGTAAATAAAGATCCAGTTGCCACCCTGAATAAAATTTTCGGTCAAGTCCACTGTAAGTCCAGCCTGGTTGCTGGTGTCCATAATAAATGCTGTTTCAAAGTCTCTCTGCAAATGGAAGGTAGACATTTTAGTGCCACAGGCAAAACATTTAAGCAGGCACAGAAATCATGTGCCCTAGCAGCATTGGCCAATTTGTGTAATGTTTTTGTTGATAACAACAACTTGAAGACATGTATGCCTGCCCAGGTAGCAGTTAAGGAGAAACTAAGCACTAAAGATGAATTGCTTAATAATAGTATTAATGAAATTGATTCGAATGCAAATCCAGATATTACTGAAATTGTTAATGAAGGTAAAGAACCTATTAAGGAAATGCCTGAAAATGAATCCAATGCCTTAACAACTCTTCCAAAAACGCTAGATGCAATAGATAACATATCTCTTCAAAAAGAACTTATACCATTAACTATAAAAGAAATTGAAGCTAAATGTTTGGATGAAAAATCTATCCCTTTGGAAAATATTACAAATTTGCCAACAACTAGCGGTTCTCAACCAAAAGTAGCTGAAACTAGGTCACAAAATGCAAGTTGCAAAAAACTTTTTAATAGCGAGAACAAATCCGAATTAGGCAACATGTTAAGCAATAAACTAAAAACTTGTCAAGTGAACCGTAAAACTCTTACAAATAAAACATTTTCCACAATGAATATGGAAAATGTAGAGAGTGTGGAGATGAAAGTATGTGTGAAGAGCTATGCTAGAAATCCCATCGAATCTTGCGACTCCAGTGTAATGATAATTGAGGAAAGCGTTCATAAATCTCAAAGTAAGTTGATTTATTTTTCTATTAAACAGTTTCAGTTCTAGTTCAATTCTAGTTTAGTTCAGTACTAGTTCAGTTCTAGTCCAGTTCTAATTCAGTTTTAGTTCAGTACTAGTTCAGTTCTAATCCAGTTCTAATTCAGTTCTAGTAAAGATCTAGTTTAGTTTAAGTTCAGTTCTAGTTCAAATCAGATCCAATTCATATTTGGTTCTGGTTCATTTCCGGTTTAGGTCTAGTTCAGGTCTAATTCATTTCTTCTTCAGTCCTAGTGTAGTTAAAATTCTGTTCTAGTTTAGTTCTAATTCAGTTTCAGTTCAAATTCAGTTCTAGTTCAGTTTTAGTTCAGTTTTAGTTCAGTTCTAGTTCAGTTCAAGTTCAGTTCTAGTTCAGTTTTAGTTCAGTTTTAGTTCAGTTTTAGTTCAGTTCTAGTTCAGTTCTAGTTCAGTTCTAGTTCAGTTCTAGTTCAGTTCTAGTTCAGTTCTAGTTCAGTTCTAGTTCAGTTCTAGTTCAGTTCTAGTTCAGTTCTAGTTCAGTTCTAGTTCAGTTCTAGTTCAGTTCTAGTTCAGTTCTAGTTCAGTTCTAGTTCAGTTCTAGTTCAGTTTTAGTTCAGTTCTAGTTCATTTAAATTTGGTTCAGTCCTATCATTGTTCGGATTCAATTGCGGCTTCAGTTCTAGTTCACTTATATCTAAATCTTTTAAATCTGTTTCAGAAATTATTTCAGTAAACAACAACCAGCATCCTAGATCATTAAAGAGACGTCATGGTGATAGTCCACAAATTGAACAACCATTGGCCAAAAGACGTGCAACTAATAAATGTAAAACTATGTGCCAAATGCCCCAAAATATAGCAACTCTTGGCAGTAGCCGGTGGTCTCAAAAAAATACAAATGCTGTAAAGGCTTTACAAAAGTTATGTCCAAATTTACAATTTACTTTGGAGGCAGAAATGGGTTCCGCTGTAGTTCCCTACTTTATGATGTCGGCCATAGTAGATGGACGCAAGTTTTTCGGTCACGGCAAAACTATACAATTAGCTAAACACGATGCAGCTGTACAAATTTTAAATCATTTAGAAAAACAACCCGTAAATCTGAATGACAATAATTTTTCAAAAACACCATCAAATAGACAAAACAACCAACAAATGGTTTTACAAAATAATAATACTAATAGAAATAATGCAACTTCATACGATTTGCAATCGGTATATCTTAATAATAACAAGAATAGACAAAATAACCAACAATTGGTTTTACAAAATAACAATAGAAATAACGCAACTTCAGCATATCAATTGCCTACCCAGAACGCGGATATAGTGGAAGCCAAAATAATGCAAAAATTTGAACAATTAACTAGAGGCCGTCAAGAGATTCGTGAGTATAAAGTTTTGGCTGGCGTGGTAATGACCTTTAATATGAATTTTGAAAAGGCCAAAGTAGTATCCATTGCTACTGGCACTAAATGTATTAATGGTGGTAATATCTGCTGCAATGGTTCCGTGCTTAATGATTCACATGCTGAGGTAGTAGCGAAAAGAGGTTTAATGAAATATCTCTATAACCAACTACGTTGGCATTGCGATCCGGAATTGGAATATAAATCAATATTTCAAAGAAATCCTGACGGTTTACAAATACCCTATTCTTTAAAATCCAATGTACATTTTCATTTGTACATTAATACAGCCCCCTGTGGGGATGCCCGCATCTTCAGTTTTAATGATCAATTTAATACGAATAACAATAAGACGTTTAGCTCTTTTAATAATGGCCAATATGGCCAATTACGTACTAAGGTTGAGGGCGACATGGGTACCACACCGGTTGGTACACGCTATTATCCTCAAACCTGGGATGGTGTTTTACTGGGCGAACCTTTACTAACCATGTCCTGTTCAGACAAAATAGCCCGTTGGAATGTGGTGGGTGTACAAGGAGCTCTCTTGTCCCATCTGACAGAACCTATTTATTTGCATTCCATTGTTTTGGGTAGCATGTTTAATGCTAAACACTTGAATCGTGCCTTTTGTGGACGTATTCAACATACCTTAGGCTACTTACCACAACCATATCGCCTAAATCGTCCTTTATTGGGCCAGACCAGTGCACCATTACCCCGTAATACTTATAGGGTGCCTAGTATAGGTATCAATTGGAATTTTGGCGATAATGATACTGAAATCATTTCATTGCCTACAGGACGTAGAATTTACAATGAGACATCCTTGTTATCGAAACAAGCTTTCTTTTATAACTATAACTATTTGTTGAACAATTTACCAAATGTAGGCGGTGCCTGTATGAGCAATAACTATGCTGAGGCAAAGGAAAATGCTCGATATTTTCAAATTGTTAAAAAAGAAATGTTTGCGGCATTTTATCGTGCAGACTTGGGTAGTTGGGTTAAAAAACCTATCGAACAAAATGAATTCACTATGAATTAATTTTTTTAAAGAAATTATTAATTTTTCTACGAATATTTTTCGAAAACAGATTAGGGTCTGTTTGAGGAATAGACAATTTAATTTTGTGTTTTAACACTTTCGTTTTAATATTAGTAAAATACATAAAGGTATATGTATGTTTGTATTAAATTTTCGATGTTAACAAGTTTAGATAACTTGAGAAAAACAAAGTTTAATTTGTTTTGTCTCAATTGAGAAAATAATATTTTAAAATTATTATAAGTTAAAAACCAGACAAAGTTTTTCTTTATAAAAAATGAATTAAATGCAGTGCTTTTTTTGTAAATACTTTTATGCTTAAAATTATTTTTAAGCATACAAAAAGTATTGTTATAAAATTTTTATTTTGTTTTATGTTAATTTTGTTACTTTTATGTTTGGTTAAAGTGATTTTTTTTTAATTTAAGCTTTAAATGTTATGTGAATTAAATTTTGATTTAACTTAAAAAAAAAAAACTTTTTTATAAATCATTAAACTTAAAACACTATGTTGTTTTATACATATAAATGCAATCAATTATTGTTCTTAATAAATAATTTGGCGAAAAAAATAGATCTAAAAGGAAAAGTCTTTGTAGTTATACCCAGCAAAAAAAGTGTGGAAAAAGATGTAGAATTTTTATCACAACTAGTAACCCGAAGTGCTTCAAATTCAGGTGAAAAACCTATGAATTTTACATTAGCGTGTCATTGGAGGGATGTTGTTCATTTTTGACAACTTTGAACTACATCTAATCTTATCTTTAGAAGCTGTAAAAATCCGATATTTGTATGTCAAAAATAAACCACATTCTTTCAATGAAACGCTTATGTAAATTTCATTGGTTTTTCATTAAAATTTGAAGTACTTCGAATATGTTGTTTGTAGTGACTTTTCTACAACTCTTTTCTCATTTTTAACTGTGTTTTAATTTGTAAGTATATGTTTGAAAAGTATGCAATCGCATTTTTAGATGTGATTAAGATGTCGTTTGTAAAGTATGACATCAATTATTTTTTGCTGGGATATTGATATAACCACACAGCTCTTTGAGTCTAACGAAAATTTATCAAATTATTGGAATTGATGTAAAATTTAGCAATTAAATATAAATTGATATATTATCCGATTCATTTATATTCTGATCGATATTGAATTCGTAATTTGAGTTCCTATTTTCGGTTTAAGTAAGTAGTTTAAAGTTGTATTCCCCTTTCCAAACACAAAAAACTTTTTATCGATTCCGTTGGGTTTACATTTTTTTAAGGAAACAAAATATGGAATTAATTCCGCAATCTCCTAATAATTCTTAAAATTTATAATTTATCACGATTTTCATAATTTTGGAAATTTCTGTGCTTTTAGGAACATTTATTTGTTTATACATGGCAACACTGTTGTGTTTTGCTAATCTCACAGTGGATTCAGAAAAAGTGAGCTTAAATCAACATTGTTTACATAAATTTATACCTAAACTGTCAAACTCTGTGTAAAAAAACAATTCGCTCATAACCAATGCTGTCAATTTATGTATATAACAAATCGTAAATTAGCGGCAACTGCCATCCAGTGTTGCCAACTTAGTGCTTTTAGCACTATTTGCGGTGCCTTTTGTTGTGCCAAACGCGGAAAATTTTGCTCATGGTGCCTTTTTTCAAAAAGGCACTACAGTGGTGCTTTCTAATTTTATGACAGTGCATTTAGTGCTTTTTATACCCACCATCAAAAAAGATGAGTGGGGTATATTGATTTTGTCACTCCGTTTGTAACACATCGAAATATTGGTCGTAGACCCACAAAAGTATATATATTTTGGGTCCTTATTAAATTCTAAGCCGATCTAACCATGTCCATCCGTCTGATCATCTGTCCGTCCGTCTGTCTGTTGAAAGCACGATAGGGTTAGATCGGAAAGAGCAAGCGAGTTAAATTTTTCCACAAATATTTCTTATAGGTAAGGTTTGTTTGGTATGGCAAATGGGCAATATGGGTCCGCAATTTCGCATATCCCCCATACAAGTGACCCCCCGAAAAACAGCTTTAACAGTCACAACTGTTTTAAACATACGAGTATAGCGATAAAATTTGGCATAAATAAGTTTTATATGCGTCAAAATCTCTGTACCAAATTTTATGGGAATCGGTCCAAAATTGACCCTACCCCCCATACGAGTATAGCGATGAAATTCAACATAAGTAAGTTTTATATAAGCCAAAATCTCTACTAAATTTTATAGAAATAGGTCTATAATTGAGCCTACCCCCATATAAGGTCTCCTTCAGAAAATGATTTAAACGGTCATTACTGACTTAAAAATACGAGTATAGCGATGAAATTCGGCATAAATAAGTTTTATATAAGGCAAAATGTCTCTACCAAATTTTATGGGAATTGGTCCATAACTGACCTTACCCCCAAATAAGGTCTCCCTATGAGTGCAGCGTTGAAATTCAACATAAGTAACTTTTATATGCATCAAAATTTCTCTACCAAATGACATTAATACTCATTACCGACTTAAAAATATTCGACATAAATATGTTTTATATAAGCCAAAATCTCTCTAGCAAATTTTAAGGCAATCGGTCCATAATTGACCCTACCCCCACATATGGTCACCTTCAAAAATTGATTTTAACGCTCTTTACTGACTTAAAAATACGAGTATAGCGGAGAAATTCGAAATAAACAACTTTTATACAAACGTAATCTTCCTACCGAATTTAATTCGGATTTTTCGGTAACCTACCCTACCCCCTATTAAGGTCCCCTTAAAAATATGAGTACAGCGATGAAAATTGACAAAAAATAAGTTTTATACAATTTTTTTACACAATTGAACCTATCCCTAATATATAAAGCCTCCATGATTACTTCATCGTTGTACTCGCAATAAAAAGATTTTTATTATAATTCTTTATTCCGAATTTTATGACGATATAACTGACCAACAAAACAAAATCTATGTACAAAATTTTATGGGTATCGATATATAAACTTAAAAATAATATATATAGATTTTGCAAAAAAAATATATTTCACACAATTTTACAATTTGGGTGTAGTTACATCGGTTCGCCAGTTGGTAGTGTGCCTGTCAGTTTGAATGTTTAATGACATTTTACTATTTTTAAAATAACTTTTAAACAAATCAAGGAATTTGAAAATTTCTCATCTTATTTATCTAATATTCGTCAAACATTAGTTTTAGTTCTTACGTTACTAAAAATCTAACTCACACAGATGAAAGACTTTAGTATGACGCATGTTTTGTTTTGTAGTCAATGTTTTAAAAAACGAATTTTGGAGTCTTGTAGGAAATGAGCGAAATAATGTGCAATTTTTATTAAAATAAACAATATTTGACTAAAAAACGTTAGTGCTTTTTTACCCATTTTCAGTTAGAAAATTACGCTTTTTTACCCCTTTTTAATTTTTTTGCGCGCGTTTTGCTTGACCAATGTTGGCAACACTGCTGCCATCTTATAAGATTTTTCTTATCTCTTTTTGTTTACACTATTGTGAATGATTTCTAAGCATGTCGAGTGAAAAAAATCAGTTATTGCTGAAAAGTTGAACAACAAAGTAGTGTTAGTTTCGTTTATTTTGTAATTAAAAATACGTATACAATAAAAATAATTAAAAAATAAAATGTGTAATATAATTATCTAATATAAAATCTGTTTATTTTTATAAGAAACCCTTTAAATTTGCGAATTTCAGAGAAAGAAATAAACATGTTTAACGATTTCATAACAAAGTTTTGTTACAACAATTAATTGATATTTAACATAACATATTGCAAAAAAAGAAATAACCATACATGGCCTATAGTTAAACAAAAAAGTTTAGTTTTTTTTTTAATATATTACAAAAAAGTGTAATTATTTTGTAAAGAAAACAAAATGGGTGCGTAAATGAAATATTTTTGTGCAAAAATCAAATTTTTTTTATAAGTAAAAACAAAAAAATGCCAAATTGTTCTAATTTTAGAAAAAGAAAATTATAATAATTACACAAACACCGTAACAGCAGCACAAGATGATAATGAAGATGGGAAAGGTGATGAAGATGACAAAGATGAAAGTGAATTCCCCCTAAAAAATCAACAGAGAAACGAAGAAGTAGAATTGCTCGAACAAAGAGAAGATGGCAATGACATAAATATTGTTGTTGTGATTGATGCTGACCAAAATGAACCTTCAGCAGAAATAGTAAACAAAAATGTAAACAAATCAACAGCTGTGGAAGAACATGAGGAAGAAGAAACAAAAAAACTACTAGAAGAAGAACCGGCTAAAACTAATGAGAAAATTGACCAAAATGTAAATGACAACCAGGGTGAGGAAGATGAAGAGTCTACAACATTTGAGCCTCCCTATACCGCTCCTTTGGCCCCCCTTGACATGGAACTTATAGAGCGACTTAATAGAGAAAGAGAAGCTAAACGTCGTTCTAGCTCAGCTGGTCGCAGAAGATATAGTCGCTCTCCCTGGACACGTAAAAGTGTGGATAGTACGAAAACTGTTGCTAGCATGTTTATTGAAGGTGAACGTTTAAATTTAGATGCCGGTCGTCGTGCTCATGAATTTCATACGATAGTTGATGAGGTTACTCCAGCTGTTCATGATTCACATAGGCAGCCGTCGCTGTCAATGACAAACGCCAATACAGCTGACAGGTGAGTGTGTGTGTGTTTTGGGTTTTCTTTAGTGTTTAAACTTTATAGTGGAGAGGAGGTTATTATGGGTTTGTGTTAAAGTTTGTAACCGTTAAAATGTAATGGAACTTTTTACTCTCTTCCAAGTGAGACATCTATGTAGTCCCGTCTGTTTGTCATTTTTAGTCTTTTATTGATACTGAAAGCCGCAATTTTTAAATTAATGCATTTTGGTCCACGAACAAATCGTATTGAATTTTTCAATTACCCTCCCTTAGTATAGCTAGTACCCTTACAAAATCCTCCAAATTAATCCTATATACTCCTGTTGTAGAGCATAATAAATTCGCTTTTAGCCCAATTTACTCTCTTGCGTGTTTTGTATTACTTTTTTGTTTCGATCTATTGCTATGTCCATCTAGTATATTTTAAACTTTGTATCGGCAATAATAAGAGTAAAAAAAAGTTTACAAAATTGGAAGCTGTATAATGTTATTTATAAAAAAACCTGCTTTTAATTGTTACCATCGACAACAAAGGGGAAAAACATTCCAAATAAAACTGGGTGCTAAGTAAATAGATCAGTAACTAAACTGCAGCTTCCGGATAAAATTTAAGCAGAGTTTTCTATACACATGTAACGCTTAAACGAATAATTATTACGTTAATCAAATGAGTAAAGAAATTGCAAAGTCCGCTTTTAATTATTATTCCGCTAATGCTACAATAAAATAAAACTTCTATAGAATTTTATAAAATTTCTAAAGTATTTTTTTTTTAATTTAACTTTATTATCATTACTCAAACTTTTACTGTGAAATGCTTGCATTAGTTTTCTTTTTTTCTTGTTATCTTAACAATGGGGACTGTTAAAATTATCTTTCTTTTATAATAGATTGCTAAAAAATATGTCATTAGCTAATGACAATTACAATATAATTTCATAATAAATCATAAAAAGATTTATTTTTTTAAATGCATCATAAATAATAGAATTCTTCCAGTTCTAGCTAGATTTAAAATGATATTTTTTTTTAAGATTATGCAGTTTTTTTGTTTAGTTCAGACTATTTCTAATTACATCTTACAAATCTGACGAGTACTGGACCAGACCAAATACTTTTTTGGAACATAATAAATTTCATTTCTAATAATAGTTCTAGCGTTATACTTTGGTTCTAGCTACTATAAGCAATACTTTTCAAACCAAAAAATGTTTTTTTAAAAAATTTTTATAAAATTTTAATTTAAAAATATAAATTATTATGATAAGACATCTACTGCGAAAATTTGAATTTTAAACAATTTGAATTAGTTTTTAAATCTTTCACCTATATTTGTCGACCAATATATTATATCAATTATTAGCTTTGATTCCAACAGATTTTGAGTTATAAGCTTTTTATTCACATCTAACTACCTTTTACACTATGTATTTCTTATCTTTATTACCCTGTATTTTATTTATTGACTTAAATCTGTTTTATGTTTACTTCTGTTATGAAATGTACGTACTTTTTAGAGAACATAAATTACATCAAAATATTTTCAAACATAATTAGCGATCTTGTGTTATGAGTAAAGAAAATATATATATTTAATAAGAAATACTACATACGCTGAGAATTTATGAATAATTTTGTTGTACTTGTTTTAATGCTCTCTTTTAAAACTACAAACTTTGCAGGCATGGGATATTTGAATATTGAAATAGTACTAACTTTTACCAAAAAACCAAAAATTTTATATATTGAAAAGTACTGAATTAATAAAGGTTTCAAAATTAAAATAGTAAATGCCTAGACTAGACTATAGTCTAGTCTATAGTCTAGCCTATAGTGTAGTCTATAGTGTAGTCTAGTATATAGTCTAGTCTATAGTATAGTCTAGTCTATAGCATTGTATATAGTCTGGTCTATAGTCTAGACTAATATATTGTCTAGTCTATAGTGTAGTCTATAGTCTAGACTAGACTATAGACTAGTCTGTAGACTAGACTATAGACTAGTCTGTAGACTAGACTAAAGACTAGACTATAAACTAGACTGTAGACTAGACTATAGACTAGACTAGACTAGACTATAGACTAGACTATAGACTAGACTATAGACTAGACTATAGACTAGACTATAGACTAGACTATAGACTAGACTATAGACTATAGACTAGACTATAGACTAGACTATAGACTAGACTATAGACTAGACTATAGACTAGACTATAGACTAGACTATAGACTAGACTATAGACTAGACTATAGACTAGACTATAGACTAGACTATAGACTAGACTATAGACTAGACTATAGACTAGACTATAGACTAGACTATAGACTAGACTATAGACTAGACTATAGACTAGACTATAGACTAGACTATAGACTAGACTATAGACTAGACTATAGACTAGACTATAGACTAGACTATAGACTAGACTATAGACTAGACTATAGACTAGACTATAGACTAGACTATAGACTAGACTATAGACTAGACTATAGACTAGACTATACTAGACTAGACTAACTATAGACTAGACTATAGACTAGACTATAGACTAGACTATAGACTAGACTATAGACTAGACTATAGACTAGACTATAGACTAGACTATAGACTAGACTATAGACTAGACTATAGACTAGACTATAGACTAGACTATAGACTAGACTATAGACTAGACTATAGACTAGACTATAGACTAGACTATAGACTAGACTATAGACTAGACTATAGACTAGACTATAGACTAGACTATAGACTAGACTATAGACTAGACTATAGACTAGACTATAGACTAGACTATAGACTAGACTATAGACTAGACTATAGACTAGACTATAGACTAGATAGACTATAGACTAGACTATAGACTAGACTATAGACTAGACTATAGACTAGACTATAGACTAGACTAAAGACTAGACTAAAGACTAGACTATAGACTAGACTATAGACTAGACTGTAGACTAGACTATAGACTAGACTATAGACTAGACTATAGACTAGACTATAGACTAGACTATAGACTAGACTATAGACTAGACTATAGACTAGACTATAGACTAGACTATAGACTAGACTATAGACTAGACTATAGACTAGACTATAGACTAGACTATAGACTAGACTATAGACTAGACTATAGACTAGACTATAGACTAGACTATAGACTAGACTATAGACTAGACTATAGACTAGACTATAGACTAGACTATAGACTAGACTATAGACTAGACTATAGACTAGACTATAGACTAGACTATAGACTAGACTATAGACTAGACTATAGACTAGACTATAGACTAGACTATAGACTAGACTATAGACTAGACTATAGACTAGACTATAGACTAGACTATAGACTAGACTATAGACTAGACTATAGACTAGACTATAGACTAGACTATAGACTAGACTATAGACTAGACTATAGACTAGACTATAGACTAGACTATAGACTAGACTATAGACTAGACTATAGACTAGACTATAGACTAGACTATAGACTAGACTATAGACTAGACTATAGACTAGACTATAGACTAGACTATAGACTAGACTATAGACTAGACTATAGACTAGACTATAGACTAGACTATAGACTAGACTATAGACTAGACTATAGACTAGACTATACTGGACTGTAGAACATACTGTAGACTAGACTATAGACTGGACTGTAGACCATACTATAGACTATACTTTAGTGTAGACTATAGACTAGTTTTAGTGTAGATTATAGACTATACTAGACTCGACTAAAAGTTAATCTTTAAACTAGACTATAGACCAGACTCTAAACTAGACTATGGACCACAGATTACTAACCAGAAGTTTGTTATTTAGAAAAAGTACTGAATATGTCTTGGGCGTATCGCTGTGCACTTGGATGTCAAAAGGTACAGAAAAAGTACTAAAGTACTAAATTTTCCATGCCTGATGCAGAACTCAGCCACATTAGTCTCTCAATTGAATATAAACAAAATATTTTGTATTTAACGACAGACTAAGTAGACGGAAGTCCACTTGAACAGAAAAAAAATTTAAATGTTCATTCAGTTATATTCAGTATTAGCAAAGAGCGCGAGACAATAAAGACGTGGCTACAGAGGTCGCGGTAACGTTGCGTGTGTGCATAAAATGGAATAAAAATACTAAAAAATATACAAAATTTATATTGAAAAAAAAAGCTTAAAACAGCAACAAAAAATAAAGAAATCTATTAACCTAATAACACAATATTAATTTAATAAAAAAATTGCCAAAAAATAATTACGAAAATTGTACATATTAGTGTTTTGATTGGGGAAGTGTTAAAAAAAAGTGCGTGGAAATTTTTTAAAGGTTAATTTTAGTTTTAAAAATTTTTTCATTATTTAATTAAATCTTAAAATTATTACAACTATAAACTTAGTTTGTTAATGTTAATGGTTTTATTTTATTTTTATTAGTGTTTTATTTATTTTAATACTTATTATTGTGTTTTTTTATAATGATTCATTTAATATGTTTTTTTTTTTTAGAATTAATTAAAAATATTTATTGTTTTTGAGATTTTAAAGAAAATTAAATTCTTAAATTCTTTTATTTGTTTTTATTAAATCAATATTTGCTTTTATTTCTCTTTTTTTATATTCAAAAGGCAACAGTTGTTTTACCTTTTTTGTTGGTTTTTTTGTTCGCTATTTCTTTTATGAATTAAAAACATTTATGCAATTTTAAACTTTTATTTTTTTTGTCAGTTTTGCTTAATCATTTGTTTGTGTAGACTCATCATAGACTACACGTTTATACTTCTTATGTATTTTCTATTTAACAAGAAATGTGTTAATAATTTTTTATTATTAAACAACACTTCGGGTTCACTAGATAATAAATATAAATGTTTTTTTTTTCTTTTCTTGTTATTTTTAAATTGTCTAGAGCAAATAACAAAAAAAGAAAAGAAAAAATAGCAAATGTTTTTGATTTTTCTTAGTTTATTGTGAATATAGTTTTAAGCAAATTAAATCATTTGCT